ATCATCATCCTTGTGAACACAAAAAGTGGCGTGATGCAGAGATGCCCCTACTTGTTTTGAGATAGCAACCGCCTTCTAAATACATGTAAGTCACACCTGTTTAAATTGTATTGATATCAGTAAGTCAGTGATATGGCGTGAATAATTGTAGAATATCATGCTAAGGTCGCTGTTTACTTATACCTTTTACGGTGTCTAGGCACCATTAAATGATTCTATTCAAGTTCAGGAGAATGAAGAGACGGTTCTCCTATAAGCAGAGTAGCCTGGAGTGTTATTGGGATAAGATCAATGGACACTCCAGATGAATCTTGACTGTCATATCATCAGGAGCGAGAAGTACACTTGCCGGGCCGGCCTGCCACCCACAGACAAAACAACCCGATCCCTTATTTCATCGGCACGGCGAGTCAGGGGCGCAAGAGTGTTTACCCACACCGCCTAAATTGTTGTACTCATCGTGTTGATGTAATCCCGGCACGCGAGACGAAGCGCTCTGTCAACGGGAGACTGGTATTTGAGGGCCCGAGTTCCTTAGGGGGGTTGTTCGAGGGTCCAGCGGCGGGCACGCGATGCCAGTTAACCGACGACGTGATAGCGTGTACGCCGCGGGCGCAGACAGCGCTTGTTTAACCGTAGAGCTTGCTCTATGGTTTTACGCATCTTCATAATACACCAGCCCGGCCGCAGGGGAGATGCTGGACAAATTGAAAACAAGTTTGATATTACGATTACCTGTGTCTTAAAGTGATCCTTTTCTCTCCTCGGGCCGACTCGAATTTCTCTGACTATTTTCTCATTTGGCAGGAAAAGGCCGAGTCGTGGCCTCATCCTTGAAGCTAGATGTGATCGAATGACTGTGGCTCTCCCGCTGTGTTTTTCTATTCCTCCAAGCAGCAGATATGAACTTGATGACGCAATGTTCAAATTTCACAGGGCTTTTGCGGGTTTCTCTCAGGGTCTTTTAATACAAAGGCGTTGCGAATAAGCATTGCGAAAGAATTCGTCAGTAGGGCTATTTGCACAGATTACTTTGAGCATTTGAAGAAAAAGAAATCATGCTTCTTCTTTTTTTTTTGGAAAATTCGACATTCCTCTTGTCGATGGCTATAACTAATCACACGTGTCTGAAAAAAGGCGACTTATACAGCGGTTGTCTACAATGTCGCTTTGTCGTGCTGTACGAATAAAAATCTTACTGGATTTGTAAAAGTGTCCGGCAGTCCCTGGTTAGTTATTAAAACCAATAATTCTAAATTACGTTGCAAAAATCGAGATTAGAAAAATATTTACACATTTCTCCTCAAAAATCTCAGTTTTGAAAGGAAAGTCGGGAAAAATGCCATACATTTGACAGATTCGTCTTCTTTTGAGAATAGCATTCTCGATATCAGGTTGCACCGTAATCGATCGGGGCCAGCTTCAATAATGCCTGACGCTAAGATCAACACCCACTGAGGCAAGGTGTGGCAGACGGTTGCACATTGGATTCGATCGGATAGGGCCGGGCATTTTGCAATCTAATTCCGGGCTTCAAATACAGATTAGATGCCACACCGCTCAGATGCCATGGGAATTCCAAGTCAAACACAACCCGGGCTTCGTTTTATTCCGAAGAAGCGAAAATTAGGTTCATGGGCTAGGTGCTTGATTCTAATTGGGGAAAAGTCTGGAGTTCCGAGTGTGGAATCCATTGTAGATCCGCGATGGAAACCGGCTGGTGATGTTTTCCAACTGTGGTCGTGGTGGCATCGATCCGCGTTACGATCTATGAGCAGATGAAATAATGTTTACGACCTTGTGTCAATGGTACCAATGCGCGTGAAATGTTGGCGTCTTGGATCTGGGGCCGGGGAAGACAGGAATTAAAAAAAGAAAAGATAATCATAGCAGTCGTAATGATAATATCTGGTATTGACGACAGAACTGCAAAATGAAATGTTACCCCTGACGGTGCTGCGAGTAGAGGATTATTTTCTAGTTCATTTGCCAGTAGCGATTTTTGTTGTTTGTTTTCTTATCACACGGGTCTGTTTTATAAAAAACGTCAAATGTGTCGCTTTTTGTTTGGGAAGTGTGGTCGGAAAGTGAAAAAACTATGACCTACATTAGGAAACGAGACACCATCTTTGACAAGTCTTAGACGTCAATGAATATTGAAACTTATTACTTTGGAAACAAAATCATTTAAATTTCGTGTCGTTTCTGTGGAAGTATTAAACCAATTCAAGACTAAATCCCTTCAAGCCTGTTTTTAATATCCCAGCCCCAGATGTGTACATTTGACTATTGACTAATGCAGTATCGATATCACTGGAAGAAAAAAACTGCTGAATTTCGTCAGTTCAATTATCTCTCATTAGTCATATCTGTGAGATGTTGCTGGAAAAAAGGTCAGTTCGTGATCCACTGAAAGAGGACAGGACAACAGCGAACACGCAGTTAAATTTACGGCCTTTTTGCGTGAAGTAAAACCAGACAGGAAGGTTTTATTCATGTTCATGTTACTTCACGTGTAGAATGCTTTGAAGCTAGTAATTAGAGCGCTCTAAAACCTCTTTGTTTCTGTGGTTGTTCTTGTTAAAAGCTTCGGCGAGATACACGTTGAGTAGTCGAAATTTGCTCGATGTGTTATGACGCCTGTTTCCCGTCAGGGGCGTGCTTACACGAGGACTTTCAAATCACTTGAAATTCACCTCCAACTGGAATGCTGCAGGGTCATTTCTGAATTTTATTTGCCAGAAATATGACGACCGCTAGAACTAATGGAAGCTTAATCGAATTACATTCATAGAATGGCCAATGGAAACCGCCACGCATTGCGACCCGCTTCATGCGATTTCCTGTAAAAGCATTCCCATCAAAAATTTTAATACGAATGCAGATTTCTTTTCTTGGGGACAGGGAGGTGTGTTTCAGTGAAACGAAAAAGACGACCAAGACCAGCTAGGCACTGACTTCATGCGCAGTCTGGGCACACGGCGTTTTCTTCAACCAAAACTATTCCTCCGTCACAGACTAAATTGTCTTTTAGAACCAAGTTTATAGCTCTTGCCACTCGATTGAATACTGACGTATCAATAGCATAGCCCAAGGAGTGAAGGTGAAAAGTGACAGAATGGAACGGGCTGATTTAGAAGTTAAGAGTAAAATCAGAATGCTTGGAAAAGCAAAATCAGGACGTTAAACGGATGCAAAATCAGGTTAATGAAGATACATCATAAGTGGAAAACTGGACACTGAATATAAAAGCACTGAAAACTGTTTGTTGGACAGAATCGTTCCCAAATTCACGATTATCTCACTAGTGTCTTGATTTTTTTTTTACCTGTGTGGGACGAATATTCTACCTCAGAGCAACGGGTAAACAAATCCCCAGCGTTTATGCTGTTACCGTATCTGATTTAATATGCACGGTATTCAATGTCCGTGTGCGTTTCCAGGCCCTCAATTGCATGCTGACTTCGTTGACAAGAACCAGTCTGAATTCGTTCCAACTTTGTGGATGTAGTACAATTTTAGTGACTCACTGACTAAAATTCGCCGTTCAGATACCGAGCACGGATACACTATTCAAAATCGAAACCATCTCATGAATATGTACCGGTAACAACCACCGTGCACTCTGCTTAGCCGTGAGGGGTTTGGGACAACCAAACTAAATCAAACTGTGATGCGTGCCAACCACGCTGTTCACTTCCATATAGCTATTGGTAATCTTTGTTATTGGTGACATCGATTGGCTAATATAATGGATAAAGTAAGTGGTCGAATCGCCGCCAGTGTTCGCATCAGCGAATGAAAGCGAGACCGGACTATCCTTTTAGACGCTCATAATAATAATAAAAAGAACCAGTGATACAGGCTATACTCGGCGAGGAATGAACTGTCCAAAAATGTGCAAATACTGGGGGTTGTATGCTGAACGGAGGATCCAGACACATTGCCGATGTTTGTGTATAAACAGGTCCATGTTACAGGTTTTGCGAAAACAAAATTACATCTAGCTGTCCCGTAGCAAAACTTGTTCAAAGTTAAAGGCATTGGACTAACTTGGATAAGCCTTGTCAAGCTTTTGTTTCAAAAATTGTATATTTTTTTACTCATCGCTAATAACTGAAGAGATGATATATGATCCTGCTCGCTTAATTCATCAACCTCATGAAAGCCTTATCCAGTCACATTATGTCTACAATGTCATGTAATAAAACAGTGCATAAACCTGTGTATAGTTTATGATGCGTGAAGTGGCACATCTTTGCTTATCAGACATTAGAAAGAAGATACTCTGAGGTCCTATGCAGACTCAGAGTCCAATTCTCACGTAGGCGCCAATTTGTAGACGCCATTGACAAATGCAAAAGTGAACTTTTTGCGTACCGTGTAGGAAATTATGTGCGGGTTTGATAATGTCTTTTAGATGGGGGTAGTGACGTCGTTGATCTTTTTAAAAAGTTTTAACTCTTAAAAAACCCCTTTATTTTTGGCATGTGCTGTTGAAAAATCAAGCTAACAGAGCACTTTCCGCTGACAATATCGGGCCCATACAGCTAGCCGTAGAAACCTGATCAAAATAACGAAATAGAAGTTTTATCTGTTATAGGAATGGAAATAAACTGATTCACCAAGGTAAAACACGTCATCTGCAATAATTAACCGAGTCTTCGTTTCCTTCTAAAATAATATCATCCTGCTGGAAGATGTTGCAAATTATTCACAAAAAAAATGGTGTCCTTTTTGGTTCGCTTGTATGAGGAAGTTAAGGGATAATTGAGAAGGCGATTGATCATTTTTTCACGGGACTCCTTTCATAGTGATAGTTCCCTAAAAATGGTGAAGGTAGTCTAGGTTTACCTGAGGCCCTATACCAGGCAAGATATGGGACGGAGGGGTACCCCCTTCCCTGTCCAACCCCTATACACACTCGAGANTTCAAATGTGAGGCCCCTTCCTTAATGTTGGTGCTGAAATTTTTAACGCACCTGTTTTGTTGTCCGCAGGAACTCGGTTGTAGACCAGATGGCACGGCCCGGCAGGGGATACCCCGAGTCACAATTGTCGAGCCCTAAGTATCGCTTTCGGGAACTGCTCCGGCGATTCACAAGAACCGACGACCACTAAGATTTGTAAGTATTTAACCACAGGTAGCCTATCTTTTGAGAAGATGATTGGACAGGTGCGGAAGCGGGGACGGGAAAGTTTTGTCCGGGACAAAAAGGGAAAAAGGGAAGCCACCTTTGTTTTGCTACGTCACAAGGGCTATTTTAGCCAACCGTGGTTGGTAAAACTATGGTTGGCCCTAAGAACAAAACAAAAAGAACAAGTTATGAACTGTTAAAAATCATATGCAAATATTAAAATACAAAAATAGTACCTGTATTAACTGGTTAATGGACATGCCACCCAATTAAACGCAAAATGACATTTTGAGGCAGAAATTGTTGTCAACCAAGACTGAACTTTCTGCCAACTTTGGTCGTCCATATAAAATGGCGGTCACTGCTTGTAAACAAAAGACAAGTCGGTAGGCTAGGAAACACTAAAAGCAGGAAACTCTTCAAGCATGAACTGGGGTGCGTTTTAGCAGGCTTTAACTAACAACTGGTTTGGTTATGCCCCTTTTTTCTATAATTATGATGGGGTTTGAGAACTAATCGTCAAGCGCATTTAAAACTTCCTAGAAATACACTAACCGCGAATGAATTCTTTGAAATGACCGACAAAATGCACCTTGCTTTGGCCCAGATAGCAACAGGTAGTTAGACGATAAAAACCAAAGGGTAAAAGACTCAAATCCGGGGGGATGAACTTGAGTGGTGTCAGTGTTGGAAACCCTATAGCCAACACCCAAATTGGAAAGCTGCATAGCCCTCATCTCGCTGGGATTCGAAAGGAGTAAACGTGGGCGGGAGGCAAAGGAAAGTGACAGTGTGACTGTTAGACGAGCACTCGCAGGAAACGAGCAAGGGGAATGCGAATGGGTCGCAACAGCTCCCCTCCCCACCAACCGCAGCGGAGTTGTAGTGTAGAGCGGAGCTAATTACTGTCGAATGCCCTGCGCGTACACAAAATAATGAACTTCGCCAACGAGATCTCCCTGGTCACGCTTCAACTCCTTGCATCAGATATCGATTGCGACACACTTAAAGGAAAACAAGTGCCCAAATCAAAACCCTAAGAAATTTTGGCGCCATTCAATGTTTGCGGTATTCCGTGAAAATGGTGTGACGCGTTAGTGCACTGAAGAGGTGGGGGGGGACCTCGGGGGGCTTGAGCCAACCCTGGAGGTTTTCATTTTTTAACTGTCTGAAAAATTAAGATACAATACACACATACATCTGAAATTACTAGCTCTGATACAGCTTTACATCCCAGTCCCTATTGGCGCAATTGGTATGCGCGCGCGCGCGTGTGTGTGTGTGGGGGGGAGTTTGAGCATCTTTTTGCGGGGTAAATTCTAGTTTAAACCCCCGCAACAAATCCTGGGTGCGCCATTTTGCTACGTGTGACGTGTTGATTTACCACGGCGCGTCCTTCAAGAGCAAAAAGTATTTTGGTACCTCCACAAATTTTCTCGCAAGATGAGATGTTTGGGCGCCAAAGTTGTAATTGAGACCTCTTAAGACCATGTCTAGACTCTACAAGACCGTGTCAGGACTCCACAAGACCATGTCAAGACTCCACAAGACCATGTCAAGACTCCACACGACCATGTCAAGACTCCACAAGGCCATGTCAAGACTCCACAAGGCCACGTCAAGACTCCACAAGACCATTACAACACCAGCACGAGAACTCTGGTCTGAATTCAAATCACAAGCTCTTGAGTAAACTATTCCTTGACCTTGTGACTGGTCTTGTGATGGTCTCGACCACAACACCACTGGGGCTCTCACTTCACTTTTCTTGCCAATTTCTTTCGACCCTTTCAAGCTTGCAAGCGAGAGCAACTTTTATTGCCAATTGGCCGGCATGGTTGATTTCCCGGAAAAGCAGGGTTTCTAAACGGACTGTGTACAACAGCTTGTACTTCAGACAGTATCACGTGTCTTCATGAAATGTCAACAGGTGGCGTCATGCATGGGATTTGTCCCAAATTCCACGTTAATCCCATTGGGTCCCATTGAATGGGACCCAATGGGAGTTTTCGTAAGATAACCGAGTTTGTATATGTTCGTCTTTGCATCACGGATGCTGAAAGAACTTCCACAGAACGTGAAGTCCACGAACGGTGGATTTAGTACAGTAACCCTGAAATTGAAAGAAGCGAAGTTTGCAAGAACTATACAGAACACTAGACAGTCGTTTATTTGTTCCAGCTTTAAGATCTAACTGAAAACTACCTATTCTGTAAACACTTGTCAAAACACAAACTTACGAACGGGAAGCGACAGGTGTGGACGCCACCTGCCACAATTGCACGGTGCAATTGGCGTCAAAATTCCGTGCCGTTTGAGCCTCACGTACGGTTGACTTCAAATGCACGCCATGACAGGTTGCGCTCAGTGTTGACTTAAAACCACAATGGAGCGGCAAAAGTACATCATCGAGCTCTCATGTGGGCCTCATTAAACAACACTTACCTCATTTGCAGACTGATGGGTCCTGGCGTCCTTGAAGTACTTTCCTCGCTGCTAGCGCGCGTCTTTCCTCGTGGGTGGTGCAGGGGAGTAATGTGGGAGGAGGCCGGTATACTGAAATTGGGTCGATGTCGCATCAGTCAAGAAAGGGTTAGCATGGCTAACATCTTGCAGGCCAGTGCTTTTGTTCTGCAGGTTATACACAAAGGAGGTTTCCCTGCAGAACAAAGGAACTACCATGCAAGATGGCTACCGTGCAAAACCTCTATAAAGCCTGGGGGTTACTTCCATAAATTTGCTGAGTATCAGGGATATATAATTCATAGAGACTGCTGAAAATGGCTTAGAATATTTCAAAAATGTTTATTCCTCCAAATTATAAAATGGAAAAGATATGAATACAGCTTTCCGTCCAAACTTCTTTCAGATCAGGATACGTTGCGTTTTGGGTTTTTGTGATTGTAAGTGATTGCCTTCATCTAAGAGAATAGAAACCACAATTTAATTCATGACAAGCAAAAGGTGCGACTCTGGTTACCATGGTCACGCTATCACTGGTCATTTGCGGTAGCCCCTCCAAAGGCACTATTCAGCAACAGTCGCACTGTGCATGTGCAAAACCCAACACAATGCCGATCTTCCCTTAAACGGGGACCATCGGAAACGTTCAGTGAAACATACCCCTACCTTTGGCTACACGGTTAATGTTCCAAGTAATTCCAATCCTTGTCTCACACAGCTGACTACGGAATTGAAATGAACGCGCCAACGCTCGTGCACCATTAGAGTAGGATGGCTCTTTATGTAACTGTCGCTGCTTCCTTACCATTTGAGCGAGGAGGCTTTTACGGAAAGGCGACGGTTAATCAATAAGACTAGTCTGTATCGTCCACGAGTTCCGTACTCAGTCCTGACATGATAAAGAAGGCCGCACAGTCCCGTTGCTTCTTTCAATTTGAAACAGTAATGCCAGGTGTTTCAGTGCAGTGGCTGTAGTTTATTCAGGAAGCTTGAACTATGAAAATGTTGCCACGATCAAAATCATTCCTGGCGTCTGCTTAAATGTAATTCATTTTATCTTCAAGGACATTTTTTTAGCCTTTGACAGCCAGCAGTTTGTTTCCTTAAAATGCATGTATTGTTCGCTTGTATCCTTGCCTTGCTCATTTTCTATTAAAATTCCCTGTTGATTTTGTTTTTCCTAGTTACAATCTTAATTTGTTTATTGATTTCTTTAGGTTTGGCATTCGATACAAGTGAATGCATCCACCAGTTAACCTAATAGCTTTATATTTGCTGCTGCATTTTAATCCATACACCCTGAGGACGGCTACGACAACAGAAGTAAACAACACCAAGCAATGTTATAGAGATAGTGATTCAATATACAATACATAGACTTGGGGTATATCGTGCGATTGATAAAATGTGTCTCGTCATTTGGGAATTTAAAAGCTTTTAAGTGTGAGGCACTAATTATAAATGATTCCGTGGGCAAGTTTGCAGAGAGTTTTATAAGCGATTGCTTTATGTAACCTAGTCCTACTTTCAGTGGTACGTGACTTGTTTCACCTCTTTTTCAGATGGTGGAACTTCTAAAGGGAATGTGACTGCTGATTCGTGTGTGTTATGATCAGTGACTATACTTAGTTTACAGAAATATCCATAAATATGGAGAGTCTTTAAAAGTTTGAAACACTTCCCCCGCTAGCGACAAGATTTGGGCCCACAGTTTGGAAGCCTCAGCCCTAACGAAGCTTATCGTCTCTTCTGTTTTCACAAACAAGTGTTATATTCCTCATGCAGTGTCAACAGGTGACTCTTGTTTGGGAAAATTTGAATTTAATTCTCTCAAATTAAGTGAAACTGATCCACGAATAACGAAATTGCCTCCGAGGTAAATCGTTTGAGCATGTGCGTTTGAAATCCCAAAGGAAATAATAGAACATGAAACGACATTTATAATGGAACATTGAAGGAAATACGGTAATATAGTGGCTAGACAAATGAAGATGCGATTTCTGTTGTAGCTGACACCATACGCAGGGACCACGTAATCGGGAAATTTATTGTTTGGCCCCGGGTTCTTCTCCATTATGTGTTTACCAAATTACTACTTTCCCACTTCCTTGTGTTTGTATTTTTTTTAATTTTCAGGGCCGATAGCTTCGCTGTGCTACTTTCTACGGGAAAACTTCTGACGTTCTGACCCTGTTGAGATGGTACTCGGAGAGGCACCGCCACCTCGAGACAACTGTCCAACAAATCGTTTTTTTTTTTGGATTAAAATATTACTTGGTTTATGTTTACAAGGTTATGAATGAAAAGCTAGGGGCCATATGTTGCATTTTTTGGGGAAATCTTCTCTTGCGCTAAAACTTAAAAGAGCACAGAATCATAATTCATCGATTACACAATGTTTGGCTGTAAGCGGCATTGGTAAAAGCTATATAACGTTTCTTGTGTATCTGGTGTATCGTGATGACGAGAAATTGCACAAAAAGTGGATTATTGTCAAGAAGCGGGTCTCTTTCATAGCAAGTCATATTAAAGAATATTTTTGGACAATCTAGATAAATATTCAGACCCCGTGAATCAAAGCGTTGGGATCAAGTCGTTACGGAAGACACAACCTATTTTACCCTTTGCCGAAAAGTCACGCCCATGCTTATGTAGTTATAGAAACTCTTTTACCTACCGCAAAGCCTCTTTTTCAGGACCTCATTATGGAGTATACACTATTATCAGTTCGATACAAGAAACGAAATGCTTCACAGTCCCTTGGCCGGTGCTTGTAGGGCGGCAAGCTATTGAAAATAACGATTGTGTTGAAGTTGACTTTAAATATTTCAATAATATTTAAAACTTGCACCCGTAAACAAGCAGTGATTATCTATCGATACGTAATTTTCATTATACAAAGTAAAAATTTCTCTTAGAATCCAACAAAAGCGACAGAGCGCTATCTTCAGATTATTTTTAATGAGATCATTTTGGCCGCTTTGAGTGGTAGTTCTTTCGTATGAATTTGAACTACATTTCAATTCCTCTTGGCAATTTTGTAATCGCAATTCGACGTTAACAACACTAACAAGAAAAAATCCGTTGATTAAGGTATACATTTAATTCATACAATGACTGAGAACTTTTTCTTGTAAATAATAACAAAAACTATATTTGAATCATTGACGTAGCACTTACTTTGAATAACAAGTAGCACATTGCATAATTTAGAAGCAAAAATGTTATCAATTATTGATTGAACTTAGCGGAAAACTTCGAACCGTCTTATTTATTTCACTGTTCGCCAACATTTCGAAGAAAAAATACAGTTAACTACAACCAATCAGATAAAATTGGAGTCAGTTCCAAAGTTTGCTTTCAACTGCTTCGTTCAAAAGTCTGCTGTGCTGGGTGAAGTCCCGTTGAGAGACAAGTGTGAAAGTTTTGACAAGCACGTTGAAGTAAATTTGTTGTTTTACACTCTTTATTGGGGACATTAAAGGACAAAAATGCAACCACCTGTCTTGAAGCAAACCATTGTTTTATATAAATAAGTTCTGTCAGATTACGTGTGGTTCAACAGGTATTTTACAATAGAAAACAGTATCAATATTAAGTATAAACTTTTGCAGGTAAATGTCTATCCCAGGATTAGCATGCATCATCAGTATGAAGAAATACCTAAAAGCTTTGAATTCATGTTGTCCATCAAACGCTGCCACGGCATTTATGAAAATTGGGATGACATATAACATCATACGGATGCAAGTGAGTTAACATGGGGCTGGGTTCCCCTCTGCCACCGCAGGGGTTACCGTTACAAAGTCGGGGCAGGTTCGACCGTAACACCTGGCCTTGGCCAAGGCAGCCGAGATCCCATCGATCTCTTCGCTGTGAAAGTGCTCGTGATAGTCGTTTTGCGAGCGAGAGCTGCAGAAGTGCAGGAGGTGACGCTAGGGTGAGAGCTGAAGTCACCCTGGCGTGGTGGTGGCGCACAGGGTGAGGGAAAAGCGTAAAATCTGACAAGTATCCGGAGATTGGATGAGCGAAGGAGGCAAGCGTATCAGAAAGCGAGGAGAACGTGGAGGGGGGGGGTTATGTGGAAGGGAGTGTTCCCTGCCACGAGTACGTGACGCGGCGACCCATGGAATCATCTCGGAGTGACAAGCCTGACAAGTGCTACCGTTCGCACAATTTCATCATGAACACACACACATTTCTCTTAAACCTGAACAGAGCCTTTGTAGGGAAAAAGTCCAGACAATGTTGAATGTTTATCATTTAGCTCTTTCGTCATGGGACCTGAAAGAAAAGTGTATATACAGGGAAATTTACAGGCTTGGAAATCCCTTTACTGAAGCATGTTTATGAGTGTATATACACGTACAGGTTGTCCACATAAAAAGTACATCGAAATAAAAGAAATTACATAAAAAACGTCGGATGTGCATTGATAGCAATGGTGGCGATGTGGAGGGCTCAGCACATTAAATTTAAATGCATGAGGTATTGTAAGTAGCGAAAACAAAGATTAAATTGATTTGGGTACATTTTGTTTTCAAGAATGTGTTCTTAAAGCAAAGGCATTTGGTATTCTGCGCACTTGCATGACTGGGCCTTGTTAAACATGCAAACTTGTCACAGTTCTGATTTCAGTACTCTTAACATCGGTCTTGTTTGTTCACTCATCTGTGTCAACAACATCAAAAGCTGTATACCATTGCAAAGAGGACATTCTGCCCTTTCTAAAGAGATATTTCTCACACATATAAAGTACCTTTTGCCATTACTGTGATTTTTATCTCGGTATACTTTTTATGTTGACACCCTGTATAGCTTCAGTGAAATTCATCCCGTAGACCCAATTCCAACACATCCCCCCTTCGTATAGTCACCCACCTTTGACGGCAAGGTCCGAATTTGACTGGGGTCATCGCACATTTCCTAGCAATGGATCACGCTTTGTGCATGACGACCGGATCGACAGTTTTTAGTGAAAATTCAAGTACCCCCAACAGACAAATGAATGCGCCCTTGTTTTTTTTATTAACAATGGAAGAGCAATTTTAAATGGTGTGGTAGGCATGATCAAATAGTCACAATAGTCAAGATAACCCAATACCTTAGATTTTGTGTACTTGTTCTTGACGCTCAGGGGAAATACACAAATCACAAAGATTCGACGGTAATTTCTATTCGAAGTTGTAACTAATTACTCATATAGTTCACAAACACTTTTCAATATCAAAGATATCAAAATATCATTACATTGTCAGTATAGAGACACTGTCAGTTTAATGGTGAGATTTACTGAGAGAAATTAGGCTCAAAATTTTCCTCTCTTTAAATTTAAACAGACCTGTCACATTATAAGAGCCCCTCACCAAACGTAGTTATTTGAGTCATTTTATTTGGTATAACATCATAACATGACACAAACGCGTGTAATCTTGTTACCTATTTTCAGTTTTGAAATTTCAAATTGCATTTTCAATTTTGGAAAACTTTCACGTTTTATGAAGCTTGATGGAAATTGCATTTCAACGTCTGTTTATATTGCTCTATGAAGTTCTTTGGGTCAAACACTCTAAGAAATAAACCTATTTCTATCTAATTCGCATGGAAATTATAAATAAAACTTGCTGAATCTAACAGCGGGGCATCACTGCATTGAGCAAATCCCCACCCAGCCTAGACAGCTTACTTCCATGGAGTCGTTGGGAACCACTGGGTAGAAGTTGGAAACTGAAATTAACAGCTGACGACAATGTAAAATGCTGGTTCGTTGAAGAATTACAAAATGCAAACTGAGTGCATTATACTCCCTGTTTAGAGGACACTAAACCTGAAGAAAGGAACACTTTGTTAGAACTTGACCACAGTCTTCATTTCTACATGATTCTACCATGTCGCATTACGACTCCACAGACCATAGTAAATCAACATATTGCATCCTAGATTTGCACATACATGTACTTGTAAGTTTCAAGTCTACTAATTAAATGGCAATGTTAATGATTGCTAGTTTAAACTGGGGTAGTGATGGCTGGGCTGGTGTACATCAAGAAATTGCAGTAAAAAGTTGATCGTTGTTGGCCACCTCGCTATCGAGGATCGGTTGAAGAAGATTGGCCTCTCCCGCCAGTGAGTTCTTTCGCAAACTTCCCAACTCTAGAGAATGGGAGTCTGTCACAAAAGGAGTATTGAAAGGCAGGTTGGATGAGACCTTGTTGGAGCTCGGCCTGCCTTCTTTTTCGACGACTTGCTTGACGTCTTTTGGACTCGGTCGTCTGAATTCCTTGTTGGCAGAGGAACAGCAAAGCTGGCCTGTTTTGAGTAGTTTCTTCCCAGTTGGTTATTTCGGATCCGAGCTTTGAAGCGCTTCTTGGGACCAAGATGGGATGTTTTCCCCTCAGACAATTCCCCACAGAGGAGTTGTTTTGGTTTAATACCGATCGTCGGGCATCCTGGCGACATGTCCCAACCAGCGCATCTGGTGACGTTCCACAATGGCGTCGATTTAGGGCAAGTCTGCTAGTGGCAAGACTTCATTGTTTGTCATTCGATCTTGCCAGATGTTGAAAATATAACACATATAAGCTTGCCACAAGAGAGGAAGGGTTCAAGACGGTTCTCGTGGAAGGTGCCCTCTAAAAATGGACTCTGATGTGTGGAGTCCATTTAGACGGAGCCCTATGACCTCTGATTGAGGAGTCAACGACATCCTATGCACGGTATGGAGAGATAGACTTGAGGGCTTCTGAACTGCATGTCAAGTTGGATAACCCTGACCCAACACCAACATGCAAATAATAATGATTAAAACAATCGCTACGGGTAAAAACGATCCACCTCAATGCACGCGCGGTACGCATGGTAAAACGGAAAGCGTGTTCTCATTTCAAGAACTGCAAACTGAAATGAAGAAAACACGAATTTCCGGTGGCCTTTACCTATAGCAATTACGTGGCAACAGTACGCAAATCGAAATAATTTCCTGTGGACGACGGAGCACAGGGTTTAACGGGTGATGCTGGATTTCTGCCTCCACGTCACATTATCGCACCTTTTTATTCAGTTTGGAAAGACTTGTCGGGGGCTGATGTGGAACAAAGGGAAAGGGTGAATGACTCTAAAAACTCGCAAGCAGAGGCAGACAGTGACAAACGCACCCCGAGCACTGAAATCAAAGGAGAGTTCGCACACAAGGGACAGCACATTACCTCGAGCTCAGTGACACGAGGCATTGTAAGTGAATCAGACAGAGCAACACTTTCCTGATCACACACGGGATAGCCAGGATCACTTCGAGGTTAAGTTACGCTAATTTACCGCGAAAGCTTAGACTTGAGTTGTATTATCGGGTGCGAAAACAGTGACCGAACCAATCCTGACACAGCCAGTGTGACAGATTTCTACAGTGTCATGGCTTAAACTTTACATTGACTATTTTCGCAGATTTTGCCCACATTTAAGAAACGTGACTCCACTGACGTGGCCCAGTGCTCTGACAAATAATTTCGGGTCTTATAGCTAAAAGAAGATATCAAATTCATCCGAGAATAGCAAGGTAGTTAACCACAAACGCTGACATTGTTATAACCACAGATTTTTTTCTTCATTTCAACAAGAACATCTTTCTGCCAACACCCCAAACTGGCACTGGCACCTGCATGTCATATGTCATGTCATGTCATTTCATTTCATTTCGTTTCATTTCATCTCATTTCATATCACAGTCATGGGGGCGGGAGATGATCTGCGGACTTTCATCTTAGCTCATAATAATCGCAACGGGGTTGGTCGCTGTGCAATTGTACGTCAATCATTGCTGAGCACATAAGCATTCCAGGCACTTAGTGATGGGCCAACAAAGTTCAAGTTACCTAAATATAAATTAAATTGGTGCCAAGATTAACACAAGCACCGTATACGGGGGCAAATTGGTTAAATAACAGAACACCAAGTCCGCAAGCAATCGCAGACAGTCGGCAAACAGTTGCAGACTATTGCGACATCGGTGGCAGTCAAAGTACAGCCAGTAAAAAACAAACCAAGCGGAACCAAACCGAACTGAACCCAAAGCCGTAAAGTCGAAACCTGTTGCAACGATGAACCTAAATAAGACTTTCCAGGTGCTTGTCTGCGATACAATGTCACATAAGCCACTTTCGAGTAACTTGTTTCATTTTGGAGTCCCAGATAGTAATCAGAACGATCACTATGCTGACCGATAGCAGCAAATGTCCATTGTCCTAAAATTTAACACCAAAAATGGGCACACCAGCTGTAGGAAACCTTTTACATTTGTTTCTATGACGACGAAAAGCCCTAATAACGGTCATGATTCATCTTTCAACACGGACAGGATTTGAGAGCTACATTGAACACGCAAATTTGTCCAGTTTTAACATAATTGATCGTCAAGCAGTGATCTTCTTTCCATAAATGAAGTAGTAGGACCAATCCCTTATGTTGCCCCGACGCCTCAAAGCCGCCACTAAAATGAATTATTTACATGGATAATATTCACT